TTTTATATGACTTTATATTTGTTTGCTCAAAGGAGTGCTTTAATCATATCAGATGTCATGTTTAGCTATTTTGAAGCTATTGTATCAACTTTCTTACACAGTTGGAGTATGTACTATAGGGTTCGATATACTGGTCGCGCAAACAGATTGTGGTTATATGGACATGATGATTTTATTAGGCAATCTACAACCATATGTAGCCAATCAAAATAAACCGCTTTATCATTAATATAGAGTAGACTAATGTGTGTGTGTGGAAAGTGTACATTTTGTGGTAATGAATTTTTGTCTACTCATGTCATCCGTGCAGCCATAGGCTAGCCTCCGTAAAGCAGAAGTTATTGAAGGAGCATAGCAGTATTAGGGTGAGTCAGTGGCACAGCCGGGGAGTGCTCACCAACCACACAGACGATTCGGTATTCAAACAACTGCCAACAAGGCACTCCTAAACCTTACTAAGCCAGTAATAACTCTGGTAAAAAGGGAAGGTTTGGCATGAGGCTGCCGACCTCACACAGTAAAAATAAATACATCTGCTACCGAAACTTCAAGCCTGTATCTTGAAGCCCACCATATCCCACTGGGAACGTAAAGGAATAAAAAACCAAAAGAAGTTATTGGCATTCAAATGTGGCGGGCGCCCCATCCCCTTCAGTAGTTTTGTACCTACGTTCTAATTTTCTCAGCCATATCATGCATGACTCGTCATCTTCAAGCAGGTCAGTGAAGTTATCTCATTAAGAACAGGACAATAAGAAAATGTCTGTGTATACACAACTCATAACAACGGATATCTAAAATCACTGAAAGCATTCGGCTTTGTGAAATTGGTTTCAATAACACTAAAAACAAAAAACAATTTACAGTTAAAGTCAAGAGAATGAAGAATCCTCAAGGCAACTCTGTACGCCTTTCCTATCAGTGATTTACTCCAAACCATGTAACTTCAATCTACTCAAATTAGATTAATTCGAAGAAACGAATACACCCTTGAAAGAAAATATGGCTGAAATACTTACTGGGTGAACATCATCACTGAATTTGTAGATTTCAATTTTAACACAATAGACAGATAAAACTTGTCAATGTATAAACTGGATTTTATACAAAACGGGACATTTTTGTGTTCCACTTTATCAATGAACTTTATCACAATATATAAAATAAGATGAATGAAGTATTGTGTTAACAGGCAAAGTACACTGAAACAATCTGAGTCTTTGATGATAATTAATTAATGAACTTTAATTATTATTATTGTCTCATTAGTATGAAATATTGAAATTATATTTATTAATAATGTGAAAAAAAACTGAACAAATTTCAAAGCTTTTATGCATCTCTCCTAATTGTGATAATGTATACATTTTTTAATCTTTATTCATCTAATTTCAGTGTTAGTTAAGATATGAAGGTCCGAAGGTGCTTGTACTGTGCGTGACAGAGGTCATTTCTGTACTGGCCTATCATTTAATTAATTATTTTGCTTATTTAAACAATGAACTTGATAAAATATGGAATAACAAAAAAGGAATCCATCAGTGTCGGTTTGTTATCTTCAAAGATAACTTAAAACACATTAAAGTTGTCTACAAAACGTGTGAAGAGTCTGTTACAATAACCACTTGTATTTGTAGTAGATATACTTGAAATATCTACTGATATGCGTTCATGGAAAAACATAAATTCATATGAGATGCCGAAACTTCTTTGAAAAACAAACAAACAAAAGAATCACTTTAAATGTACTATGATCTATGCGGATATCTTCTTTTGATGTTGAATGAAATAAACTTGTGGAAAAAATATGCTGATTCGTTGAATTATTCGTCTGTTTTATGTTTTGTTTTACTGTTATAATGCCATATTTTATATCTTAAATGGACTTTTTAAATAACTAAATAAACAACGAGTGCGTTGGTGACGCAGTTGAAGAGTGCTCGCCAAACACGCACGTAGTCAGGGGTTCGATCCCTGGACAACGTACTCCTTTACCTCGCTAAGCTAGAAATAATGCTGGTGAAGAGGAAAGGCTGGTAAGGACTGGCTTAGCGAGGTAAAGGAGTACGTTGTCCAGGGATCGAACCCCTGACTACGTGCGTGTTTGGCGAGCACTCTTCAACTGCGTCACCAACGCACTCGTTGTTTATTTAGTTATTTAAAAAGTCCATTTAAGATATAAAATATGGCATTATAACAGTAAAACAAAACATAAAACAGACGAATAATTCAACGAATCAGCATATTTTTTCCACAAGTTTATTTCATTCAACATCAAAAGAAGATATCCGCATAGATCATAGTACATTTAAAGTGATTCTTTTGTTTGTTTGTTTTTCAAAGAAGTTTCGGCATCTCATATGAATTTATGTTTTTCCATGAACGCATATCAGTAGATATTTCAAGTATATCTACTACAAATACAAGTGGTTATTGTAACAGACTCTTCACACGTTTTGTAGACAACTTTAATGTGTTTTAAGTTATCTTTGAAGATAACAAACCGACACTGATGGATTCCTTCTTTGTTATTCCATATTTTATCAAGTTCGTTGTTTAAATAAGCAAAATAATTAATTAAATGATAGGCCAGTACAGAAATGACCTCTGTCACACACAGTACAAGCACCTTCGGACCTTCATATCTTAACTAACACTGAAATTAGATGAATAAAGATTAACAAATGTATACATTATCACAATTAGGAGAGATGCATAAAAGCTTTGAAATTTGTTCAGTTTTTTTTCACATTATTAATAAATATAATTTCAATATTTCATACTAATGAGACAATAATAATAATTAAAGTTCATTAATTAATTAATTATCAAAGACTCAGATTATTTCAGTGTACTTTGCCTGTTAACACAATACTTCATTCATCTTATTTATATTGTGATAAAGTTCATTGATAAAGTGGAACACAAAAATGTCCCGTTTTGTATAAAATCCAGTTTATACATTCACAACTTTTATCTGTCTATTGTGTTAAAATTGAAATCTACAATTTCAGTGATGATGTTCACCCAGTAAGTATTTCAGCCATATTTTCTTTCAAGGGTGTATTCGTCTCTTCGAATTAATCTAATCTGAGTAGAGTGAAGTTGGATAGTTTTGAGATAATCACTGATAGGAAAGGCGTACAGAGTTGCCTTGAGGATTCTTCATTCTCTTGACTTTAACTGTAAATCGTTTGTTGTTTTTAGTGTTGTTGTAACCAGTTTCACAAAGGCGAATGCTTTCAGTGATTTTAGATATCTGTGGTTATGAGTTGTGTATTCGCAGGTATTTTGTATTGGTAATGGGCTACCCACCACAGTTGAATACCTAATGCTGCTTATTTTTTTATTCTTTTACGTTCTCAGTGGAACATACGGGGCTTCAATTTAGAGCTTTGAAGTTTCGTAAGTGGCGGTATTTAGTTTTACGGTGTGAGGTTGCTAGCCTCATACCGATACTGCCATTTTTACCAGACTTTTTACTAGCTTAGCAAAGTTTAGGAGTGTCTTGTTTGCCGGAGTTGAACCCCAAACACATGGGGTGTGGTTGGCGGGCATTCTACCGTTGTGCCATTGACTCACCTTAATGCTGCTAAGCTCCTTCAATACCTTCTGCTTTACGGAACCACGTAAAAATTCCTGAGAGTGACCAGCCCATGGCTTTACGGACTGCATGATTAGACAAAAATGCATTACAATAAAATATACATTTCCAACCCCCCCACACACATATACATAAGTGTACTCTATATTAATGATAAAGCGGTTTATTTCGATTGGTTACATGAGGTTGTAAATTGTCTCATAACATCATCATGTCCATATAACCACACAAATCTGAGACGGAAGATAAGAGCTATTACGAGGTGAGTGCGCGACCAGTATAGCGAACCCTATAGTACAAACTTCAACTGTGTAATTAAGTTCATACAACGACTTCAAAATAGCTAAACATGACATATGATAGGATTGAGGTATTCCTCTAAGCAAACAAATATAAAGTCATATAAAATCAACTACCTGAGGAAATTCAAGTCGCAAGTGACTGGCTCCCTTTCTCTATGCGAGTAGATTGTTACGACATACTAGCAGTTTTGTTTCGCGATAACTTATATATACTTACTCACCCTAAATTGGCTACATCAACAGTTATTGTCTTCAAATGCTACTTCTAACTTTAGCTGCCTTTTTTAGTATGGTTTTGCACAATTATTTATTTTATTGCTTTGCTTTCTGAGTGGAGTATACAGCTTCATGCTAGAGATTTGTGGTTTTGGTAGCAGTGATTTTATATTTTTTCTGTATGGAATTTCCAGCATGACGCCTAACCTTCCTAGAAGTCCAATTTTGCATTTACTTCGGCATGTTTGACAGAGTAACGCAGAAACCTATTGAGTTGCTTCACTGTCGTAGGGTCCTGTGCATTTTTTTAAATCATGGAAATACCTATCGTGACATTCTTGTCCTCTTCAATCTAATGTCGCGATGGGTATTTTCCATGATTTGAAAAATTGTCTAACCTTCCCGCTTTACCAGTCCTACTACTGGCTTGGTGAGGTTTAGAAGTATTTCGACTGGAGGTCAGGTTCAGCATTATGGATATGGTGCTGTGAGTATTCTATCGCTGAATCACCAATGCTCACTTTTGTATAAATCAATCTGTAAACACTGCTAACTGTTTCATACAGCCGGTTCGGTTTATTAAATTTAATAAGGAAAGAACGAACATATTTGCAGGATAATACAAGCTCGTTCTACTTCATGAATTCTCTTCAACTGCGTACATCCTAAATAAATCTTTTCTATGGTACAAAATGGTGTCTGAATATACTTTTTCAACTATGACCTCAAGTTGTGCATGGAAATTTTAGATGACGTAATAACGAAGATGTTAGTAGACAAATATTCAGTGTTAAAAGAGTAACTATTCATATATTAATTAAACAAAGGGGTGGAATTCAGATTTCTCTTTCTCTTTTTATACCGAATTCAGGATAATAATGATAATGTGTATTTATAGAACAATTCCTTTCACATTTATTCCTATCATTTCTAGGTATATCCACGCTGTTTTATTCACAATTATTTTTGCTACACTCCTGCAGTCAGGAAATAGTCAAGAAGGAGATGATTGGAATTACCTTGTTTTATCACTAACTTGGCCACCAACATTCTGTAGCAAAGTTGAAGTAAGCCCTTTCCATTCAAGATATAATTTAATATATACACATATATATATTCATGATTCATATTTATATAACTAGCATAAAATAGAAAATATTTGTTAATCATCTGATTTAGAATCAAGTTCAAAATTTGCATATCACAAATATTGAGGTGAAAATTGATCTGAGTTCTCTCTGTAAGCCAAGATGATTCAGAACACAGTAGATTATCTGCATTTTTATAGCATATATAGCAGTTAAGAAAGCAAGTATGAGTGCTTAAGACTATATACTACTCATTAGTTGACATAAGTAATCGGAAACCACTGAGGTTATTAATCATTTGGGCTTGGTAACCTGATAGAAGTGATCTAATTATTTGAATTGCCCAATGATTCTTATCAGCTTTATGTTGTAATAATAATAATGATAATAACAACTGATTTTACTATTTGAAGACAAGTGATAATGAATGAACAGGAATTTACTTAATAATAGTTCAATGAAACCAGTTTCTCAGATGAAGAAGGAAGTTACCCTCATGAGTGGTGGATTCTGTTACAAACCAACATCAACCACTTACTGTTCTTAATCATATCACTTTTAACTAAACAATGCTAAAACTGGGTTTTCACATAGTTCTAATTCTTCCTTTCTAGTTTCTTGTAAGGATAGTAGAGTTTTCTACATGTGCGATACAACAAGATTTGAACCACCCCCGTAGCATTTTTTTCTCGATGGATTCGAAAAACGCACCCACGCAATTGCAATTGTCAATTCCACAAACTGACATAAGAAAAACTTATGTCGGTCTGCCAACGCTTCCTGTAGAGCCTATTAGATAAAATTATCTAGTTTAAACAGTATCATATAATGACTGTGAAGTTAAATACACAGGTCATTTTAGGAGGCAGGGGTCAGCTAAATTAACACAAAGCACAAAAATCTAGTAAAATACAACTAATATACCCTGAGAGGATAAGAAATCTAGAAAGAAAGTCCCACTATATCACTACATGCTGTTACAAACAAAAACGTACAATAGGAAGAGACAAAGTAACTGTATTAAAATCTAATATTACGAGATGGAGGCTAAGATTGATAACTCAAGCTTTATTCATCGAATCATCTGGGAACATATGCGATAGGTTTGATTCAGTGCCTGACGTCATGATTTGCTTCCATGATTCATGTGGATAAATATCTTACCTCCAGTACACATTCGACTCTAAACAGTGCTTCTTGACTAGATAATGCAAGTGTGGAATTCAGGTACTGCCACAGAATACAACTGTGTATCATCGATGTGATTATGAATAATGAACAATAAATTTTTCCCTAAATTATTCATCCCTTTATCACTACCATATCACTGTGTGTTATATCATATGAGTGTGCTTAGTATAGAGCATGTTTATTAGTTACTAGAAGAACTCTGTTTAGTGGTATATTGTTGTATGCATCAGAAAAAAAGTTTCTTGCCCACACACAATTATTCATTCCACGGCTTACATCGTGACTTGTATCTGCGATTAGGCAGAAATTATTGAACTGCGAATAACTTGGAACTAAATTAAAATTATTCTCCAACAGAAGAAAAGTAAATAATTGTTATCGGTGAGCAGGATGAGACCAGTTTTCTGCTAACTGAATCCGAGCAATAATTATTTTTCGCTGATCAAATTCATAGAATGGATATGACTCAAATTTATGCGACTGTGTTCCATTAGAATGCATTTATTATATTTATATAAGTATCATTCTTTTGCGTTCCTAGTGAAACACAGGGCTGTAAGCTTGAGCTTGGAAGCTGGGATATGGGTGATTTCGCTAGCTGTGCACTCAAGCTTCCCGCTTTTTTGCTGACTACACGTTCCCTGAGGTTCGGGAGTTTATCATTTGGGAACTGAATCCGGATTGAGTTTGAGGTTGGATAGAATTCCACTATTGAACCGTTGACTCACATTTAAATTATTAGTTCAGTTTATTCAGTGGTATTATTGTGAAGGCAGTAGAAATAATCGATTTTAAATATTTATTTATTTTGTTTTAGTGTAAACTGCCACCAAGAATGAATGATTTCAACATTCATGGATTATGGTAAGATAATTTATCCTTAACAGACTTTAAGTGTTATATTCAACTCTGATTTCTTAATAAACAATGTTGGTACGATTAATGAAATCGAAGAAGTAATTTAGATCACTTTGGCTTTCGAACTAAACAACTTCTGATTACCTACTCATTGCATCACTAAATGTGATAAGATAAATACTGACGCGAAATAGTTTTTACCTGGAGATAGTTTCATTTAGGAATGACATCAGTCAGAGCGGAGAGGAAATTTATTGATCGTTTATATTAATGTTTTAATGTTGCGTTGTTGGAGACAGTCTGCACTTGTCCTCAGGGCATATTTGCTAGTCCAGAAAGAACGGATATCTCCTCGAAGATTCGAATCGATGATAGCCAGCGGAGAGCGACATGAAGGACTAGACATAAAAAATTGGTTACACCATAGAGGCCAATCAATTAATTCCTGTTTTATTTCAATTCGGAAAGCATTCGTGGAGCACACTGAAAATGCTTTACGGGATTAACTCTATTGACATCCAGAAAGAGATACGTAATCAAGTAATCTGTTTTTTATATCTAGCTTTTATCTGCATCAGGTACTTCCAAGAATATGAAATTTTGTGCCAGGAAGATATCATGTTACTATTATTGTTTCCGTGGGTTCCAAGCAAAATATAGCGACTTACCACCACATTTGCACTTTGTCCAATTCTCTTATTTCCCCTTGAACTGGGCTAACGTTTGTTCAAAGTCTCTCATCTTCGCCTCTCACGATTTCCTCCATGTCACATTCAGACGCCTCAATCATCGTTTCATATTTTGGTTCCAATCGAGGAATGGACCAGCGCGCTATATCATTCGGCAGTCTCCTCATTGTGTGCCCAATCATTTTACATTTTCTTCTACATGTTTGTCGGACAAGAGGATCTTGATTGGTTTGTCCGCAGAGTTTCTTATTGCTAATTCTTTCCGGTTGGCCATTTAATCCTCAATATTGAGCCAGTGAAGGCAAAAGCTGTTGATACAAGTCTGCCATAGCCTGTTGGGAATGGTTTCTGTGACACGCTGACCAAGTTTCTGACTCGTATAGAAGAAGTGACTGACTTCACATTTGTGTTGAAAACCCGAAACTAGTTCTTTATGCAGCGGAGTGCCAAACTGGTTTCAGGTTGATGAAGGTGTATGTTGTTTTTCCAATTCTGACTGGCCCTGATATCTTCATGCATTCCGACTGCCTATTATTGACACTGTGCTTCCCAAATATGTGAATGATGCAACATCTGTCAAATCATTCCCATTTGTGGTCACTGGTGTTAGTTGTTGTTTGGTTACTTTCATCACCTACGTCTTCTCTATGTTCACCTGGCTGCATGTCTTCACTGCCTACTTCTTCAGCCAGTTTGTTGGTTTTCACCTGAATGTCTTCCACTTTGTGTGATATTAAACATAAATCATCCACGTGCGAAATCCAGATCTTCTAGAGTCTTCTTATCGATCTAGTGCTTTTCTGTCTTCTCGTTTCCCACACACACAGTGCCGCATAATCCAGTCCACCACAATTATAAGTGTCATCGGTGACAATACGCAGCCTTGTCTTACCCCCCCGTATTCACTTCAAAGGCTTCACTAAGTCTCCTGCTGTGGTTCACCTGGCACGTGGCATTGTCATATTGCTGTTGAATGAAGCCGATAAGGATTTGTGGCACTCCATAGTGTTGAAGCAGTTTCCAAAAAGATGTCATTTAGTTATAATGATTGAATCATTGTGCAGCCCGTCTTATAAGGAACCAAATGCGCAACTTAGATTCCTCTACTGACTATGGCCATTCAAATAACATCATATTGTGTATGCTGTTGAATACTCTAAGAATATTTGGATTATTCAAATAGTGAACGACGAGTTGGACTTCCTTGGGATCACTTAGGGGAGATCATGTGAGGAGGAGATGAGGATTTATAGGTGATAGTGGAGCCAGTTGAAAAAGAAAGGCGCCAGGAAACAGAGTGAAATGCGGATATATTGTTGGAGACATATGTTCCACTTGAAACCCATAAAAATAATAATGATAATAATAATAACTGTACTCAGTAATGATGGTATTTTAAATCGTCACAACCTTAGGCTATGAACCCTATCTAAATGAAAAGCAATTGCATGTAAAATAGACCATTATTATTCTGCGTCAATGGTTGTTATTTCTCTTTTCATAATCCGAATTTTACTTCTGCTCCGTTTGTTTTTTGATAGGCCTTCTGTTTGGCCCGGTAGACAACCAACAAATTGTTCAGCTCATCCAGCTTTTGATATCGATAAATTGTGGGTGAGTTTAGTCTATTATTATATTATTGTTCGTTTGGGTTCCTAGTGGAACATAGGGCTTCAACTGCACGCCTCCACTTGCTTCTGTCTTCTGCTGTACTTTTCACTTGCATCCATGTTAATCCATACTGTTTCAGTTCCTCATCACACGATCTCCTCCATGTCACCCTTGGACGTCCCACTGGCCACTTCCCTTTCGGGTTCCACTCGAGCACTGACCTGATGCGCGATGTTACTCAGCGGCCTCCTCAGCGAGTGTCCAATCCATCTCCACTTTCTCCTGCATATTTGTTGAGCGATTGGTTCTTGTTTTGTTTGTTCCCATAGTTCCTTGTTGATGATTCTTTCTGGCCATCTGGTCTTGAGTATAGAACGAAGACAGTTGTTGATAAAGGTCTGCAACAGGCTGTTGGAAATATTCTTTGTGACCCGCCGCCAAGTTTCTGATCCGTATAGAAGAACTGACTAACTTGACGTTTGTATTGAAAGTCCGGATTTTGTTGTTGATGTTGAGTAGTGACGAAGATTTCCAGATTGGTTTCAGGTTGATGAATGTGTTTCTCGCCTTCCTGATTCTCGATTTGACATCCTCGTCCGTTCCTCCTGTAGTTGAGTTTAGTCTAATCTAATCTATTTCCTAATATCTGTCGATATACGTCGCACAACACCTGGTTCTATTGGCTTAATAGGCACAGCTTTCCCTCTGTCAAACGATAAGTACTGCGTCCGAGTATCAGTGAGAACACCATCAGCCACTGATGATGCAGGTCTGTCCAAATGACGACTTTCAAGGTGTACGATATACTCACCTTCTGTTTCACAACTGGTAACCATCAATCGAGATAACAACGGTGACGCGATAATCTGAAAAATTAGACATCCATTTACGCCAATTCACTGGCACACCATATTCTTCAACATAATGAAACAGATTTTGAAGAAAAATTAGATTCTTCCATATTAGTTTGTTTATTAGATGTATCATACATTGAGACAGTATTACTGTTTACTGGATGACAATGTTTTGAAAAACATTTGTTATTGTACACAATCATATAATCAATTATAATCGTACATTTTCGAAACTTGAGTTTCATAGTTTACTTTGCTCTTTCCTATTTGTCGTTGTTGGTGTGGCAGGATTTTCCAGATTTCCTGTTGGACAGGTGTTGAATCATTCCTGTGACACGTATTTCCGTTCAGTTGATTCGACAAGGAAAGCTTCTGTTATCAATCTCTCCCTCCACACTATCATGTTAGATTTTAAAACTGTCATCTTTTCCCATTCTATTCTATGGTGTGTGTGTGTGATTGCATATAGTGAGTGCTATAGCTGATCTATTCTCTAGATTTCTTATCTTATTTGGGTCAAATAATCTAGATTTTGCTGCTAGGTTTTTATTCTCGGCTAGCCTGACTGCCCCTATTCTACTACTTTCATCTATGTATTTGAGCTAACAGTCATTCTGGGGAATTAGATGTAAGAGGGAGAAGGGAGAGATTGATAGCAGAAGCTTTCTTTATCGAATTAACTGAATGGAAATTCGTGTCACAGGAATGAATCAACACCTGTCCAACAGGAAATCTGGAAAATCCTGCTACCCCAAGGACTACAAATAGGAGAGAACAAAGAAAACTATGAAACCCAAGTTTCGAAGTTGTGTGATTATAATTGATTGTATGATTATGAACAATATTGAATTTTTTTCGAAACATTGTCATCCAATAAACAGTAATACTGTTTCAGTGTGGGATACATCTGATAAACAAACTAATATGGTAATTCTTGAATTATTTTTTCCAAATAATGTAGCATTCATAAAATGGAATATGTGTCATTGCTAAACTGAACGACATACTCATTATGAGCGTTGAAATGAGCCTTTCCAATGTTTATGTTTTAATGATTACACATTCTACTTATAAGCATGCTTCTCTACACGAAAATGATGTGAGAATAAACAAAGAAGCACATGCAAATACACCCCCAACCTTTCATTTCTTTTCCTTCTGTTACACTACCATTGAGTAAAGAATACCCAGTAAAACTATTTGGGTACACAGAATTCGCATACGAAAATTGTCTTGTAGAATTTGAAATAAAAGTTTGTAAGGTGAAGAAAATGGAATTTAGTATTGTGTGCATTGGAGTTCTGCTGAGATGTAGCAATAGATATATTGAATTTTATGGAGATTAAAATAAAAATGTGGAAAACGAATCCACTATCGAAAATGGAATCATGAACAAGCATCCTGTTTTCACTACAACTTGCAAGACTGAATGGGCCTTCCACCTTTGTTATAATAATAATAATAATAGCTTTATTTGGAACAATGTTCATTATAATGTACAGGACTTTCAGCGGCGTTTATTGCGTGATATTATCTCTTCGTCCAGGATCTTCAAATAAAAGGTTAATTGACTGAGAGTAGATTGTGTGACACAGTTTTATCTCACCTGAAATGCTAACCAATCCAATATGATTTGTCTTCTCTGTCTCCTTCGAGAAATACACGACGATATTTTGTTGAATGGCAATTTCAAAAAGTTCAGGAGTACATTCTGTGAATCAAGGACATCATTTAGGAACAGTTATCTTATGTACACTGGGATAAGCTGCCATCCATCAAGAATAAGGCTTTTTCGCTTCATTTTTAGTAGAAACTTGCCAGTCAGAAGGTTGTAAATGCTTCAAATACTCCCCAGAGTAAACATTACTAATAGAGGTCATATATTACCAGATTTAAACAAACGGAATTAGAGAAGTTATATGCAGTACATATTGATGGAGGCTTTCCCTTTGACCAGGCTTTAGGGAAGCCGCCGTACATTGTTTGTCGGAGTGCTGTGCCCAGTGATACTGTTTGAAAAGTGAATGGTGAATATAACCTAAGTAGCTTAAAATAATGGTGAGTTTAGGCAAGTGAATCAATTTAAAACCATCCTAAAATCTGGTCAGTTACCTGACTGAAATGGTGTTGCCATGGTCTTGAAACTTATTACTTTGCTAATTATACAGTTCAAGTTGGAATTTCTTAAAATTTAAGCGACTGTAATTACCTGTGATTCCTGATTTTCGCCACTCACAGTATACGCTTTAAACAACATTTTGTACAAACATTGTACACCTGTATTTATGTCATATATTATCTTATATTACCGATGAGACTTGGATAGTTTAGCCTGCAGAACTATGACAAAATGGCTATATTTTCAAGGGTTCTGAAGGGTTTGTAAGGATCAGTTTTGTTTTTATGAGTTTGACCACGGATTGATATCAGTTAGAGAAGCATTGAAAACCAGCACTGGAGAGCTGTTTCATCCTAGTGTTTTGGGAATCATCGGCAGTGCCCACCCACCCAGGATGGTATACGAGCTTGCCTTGTAACCGGAAGATCCTGGGTTCGAACCCTGGTGGTAGGTGCGTACTGCCGATGATTCCTAAAACTAGGATGAAACAGCTGTCCAGTACTCCAGTGCTGGTTTCCAGTGGTTCTCTAACCGATATCACTCCGTGGTCGAATTCGTAAAAACCAAATTGGCTAGATGTATGAATGTTCTCACAGGTGTTCAGTGTCAACAAGTCCTGGTAAATGTTGAAAAATTTATCATATTAAACTTCAATTTTGATGTTACTTTGACAATGGTAAAGACAGATTTAAAATTAATTCATTCCTGATCAACTTAATTAAATTTTATTTCAGGATCTCAGGGGTCAATTAGACTCTGAATGGGTGAATTTGATGGACTATCAAAATCCAATACCATTTTGGTAAAAGTTTTCAAACATTTGGTGTTGTTTTTTGTTTTTTTGTTTTCAAATATTTTGCTTTTTAAATACTCCAAGAAAGGAATGGTTCTATGGAATGTGGTGATTCTCTTGAGCAGTTTCTTCATAAATATAATCTCTTAGCTGTAACTATCATGATAGTGTGTGTAACTTTTGAAAAGACTGCTCTTCCTTCTATCAGTATATAGGACAGAAAACAGTTGGATTAGCTGATTGAAGAGGACCAATTGCCCTGGCACATTCCGTTGGCAATACAAATAAACGTATTAGTCAGATATCATGCCAGGCTTCTAAAGATTCCAGTATTGGTTTGTAGGAATTTGATTGATTGTCTACAGGATTTCATCATGAGCTGACTTTGCCTAGAGAACCATTGGAAAACCTTGGAGTACTATACAGATGTTTCGTCCTAGTGCTTGGGACTCAATATGACCAAATATTTTCATAGTTCCCTTTGTGATCAGCTGACAAGATACCTATTATATACACTTTGCTATTTTGATATCCTTAAACTACTACCTTTATTTACGGTACCGCAATGTTTGTATTCCTTCCCGCCTCCATTATGAAGGCTGAACTCTACTGGTTGTTAACTGTTTCAACTTACCAATGAAATTAGAGTATTTGAAGGTCATTTATTATCCATATATGAGGAATCGCTGTACAGCATTTTCTCTGTTGATCTGAGGCAGTAAATGCTATCTCCTCGATGGTTTGTCCCCTCTCCCTCTCATTTCCTTGTGTCGTAGGTTGGTGGCATCGTGTCGTGGTCGTTTTCGTAAGAACAGTAGGCTTGCACAAGAGACCAATAAACTACTACCAGGTTTTGCTGACAGTCATATCAATACAGAATAAATAATATGAGACAAATACTAGGCGAAGATAAACTTTAAGCACCAGTAACTACCAATCAGCGAATGACCCTAAATGCACCAATCACATGGAAAAGGCTATATTTATGAAAATAATGCATAAAAACTGTATAAAAGTGTTACTGAAGATACCTTTCTGTCACATGGGATAAAAACAACTATCGGTTGTCCAGAGAAGTATCAGCAGAGAACGTAAACCATGTTCGATTCATGTATTCATCTCAAGGTTTGTGAAAACATCCTTTTGAGATCCGCGAATGGCTGCAGTCCAGATCTTAAACATTCCCTAAAATTGTTCAAAAATTTAGTTTCAGTCGCTGCTTGGCAAGATCCATAAAATCGCAAGTGTGGTTTACTCTATGGCGAATATATCGCAGGGATTACGACCAATTATATCCCTTCACACTCATCTGTGTGTATTATAGATCCTCGTCTCACCAGTCGACTGACAATTGGTAATGAAGTACTTGACTTTCTATCTGCTACTCTCTCGACGAATCCTTTCCGTAGACAGGAATCGCACACACCAATGGTTCAAGCATAATTCGCTCGTTCTCAACCATGGTTGTATTTCCTCTTTAACAAGACAGTTTCATCTCCATGTACAATGATTCCTTCTCTTCCCATTAAGGAAGTAAGTCTCTCCAAATTCTACGTTGCGATATACCTGGAGTGCTGGTGCCGCTGAACTGTTGAAACGACACTATTCTCCGTCTGAGCAGCTGTAGCTCTCACAGCGTGTTTCAAAACCCAGTAATTACAAATACACGAAATCTGGGTTAAGGATAGACGGGACCTGGTGAAAAATATTTCTACGAAATTGTAAAATCTTCAGCTTATCTTCCGTGACACTAACTCGTCTCAGACAAATTGCTCAACGACGCATATGACCATAAACCGATCCAACGAAACCTTTTATAACAATGATATCATCAGAGGAAAACGTTCTTTCCTTTCCAATCAGTTAAGCACACATACGCCCATTAGTGCCGGTATTTCACTCTCATTAAGCGGAATGAAAGCTTGAACTCACGTGACAAAACTCATTGGCCCATTCAAAGTAATCAGTGCAGTCGTACTCCATTGGTAGTTAATGGTGCCTAAAGTTTAACTTGATCCTATTTTATCCCTCTTGGAATTTTGTTGTGTTTTGCCAGCTTATGAACAGTTTAGGAGTAACTAATAGCAGTGGAAATAACGCATCAGTCGAATCAAATACTCGTAGATACACCTAAATGGTGAAAAATCGTGTTTCAATCATCTAATTCTCAATGACATAGTTTTTTATTTTATTTTATTATTTTCTTGTTATCATTTCAAAGGGAACATGAATGGTATAAACACGGTCAGTGTGCAACAGAAGACACCTTAATATCTGATGAACTTGGCTATTTTAATACGTCCTTAGTTTTAAAAGATAAAATTGATTTACTGGAGTAAGTTATACTTCTCTGACGAATAATTCATATTCTTCTCTATATCAAAGAAAGCACTGTTTTACCAAATGTTAATGGTGAATTTATCAGCATTTGACGATTTCCCATAAAATGATAATTTACAAAATATGCTACTTAAACAAGTGAATAGTAGCATGCAAATAATTCAAATTGACGTCGGTGATTCAGTGGTAGGATGCTGGCCAACGAAGCGATCTGTCCGGGGTTCATTCCCTCCTACTGACGCACTGAAAAACGTCGCTTAGCCAGTGATAAGCCCGGTGGAGAGGAAAGGTTGGACGTGAGGCTAGCACCCCGCGCATCCCGAAAAAAACACCACTGCTACTGAAACTTCGGAGCTCTAACTTGAAGCCCACTGTTCCACTGGGGACTGAAAGGAATAAGATAAAAATAATATTTCAAATTCATTAATAGGCTTTAATCATATAAGAAGAGTTTGAACACTGTACAGAGTCAATTTGTTGAGATGATTTGATAAAAGATGGTGATGTAGATAGTTCAAACTGTTAGATTGGTCAGCAAGCAACCAGGATCACCATTATCTCAAAAGGTCTCATCATCAGTCAAAAGACAACTTCTATCTCAACAGCGGACTTGATGACGCCACTACTGGAGAAGGTGTGGAAGGAAAGCAAAGTACCCGGGGATTGGAAGAAACGATAATTATTCAAACTACCAAAGAAAGGAGACTTAAGTCAATGCAAGAACTGGCGCGGAATTATGCTCCTGTCCATCCCAAGCAAAGTACTAAGCCGCATCATTCTGGAGAGAATCAAACATGCCCTGGATGAAAAACTTCGACCAGAACAGGCTGGATTCAGGAGAAACAAGTCATGCATTGATCAGATCGCCACACTACGGATCATCATTGAACAAAGCTTGGAATGGCAGTTACCTCTCTGTCTCAAATTCATCGACTATGAAAAAGCCTTTGACAGCGTCGATCGAGAGGTGATTTGGAAACTACTTCGCTACTACGGGGTGCCACCGACAATTATACATCTTATCGAACAGTTAGTTGTAGGACAACGCAGCATGCCAAGTAATCCACAACGGGAAACTTACGGAATCCTTCGAAGAAGTGAAGACGGGAGTAAGACAAGGCTGCCTACTATCGCCAATGATTTTCCTGATTGCGGTAGACTGGATAATGCGACAGACAGCGGGCAATGAGGAAACAGGCATAAAATGGACCCACACAAAAATTTGGAGGATCTGGACTTCGCCGATGATATATGTCTGATTTCCCACAAACTGGAAGATATGCAAGCAAAAAGCAACAAGTTGGCAGAAGAAGCATCAAAAATCGGACTTCAGGCGAACATAAAGAAAACAGAGGTGATGAAGATTCCTGGGCAACACCACCAACAGCAACAACAACAGACAACAATCAGCATAAATGGAAGGGACCTGAAAGAAACAACCTCTTTTAACTACCTGAGAAGCATCGTTTCAACTACAGGCGGAACTGACGAGCATATCAAAGCAAGAATCGGAAAAGCAAGACAAGCTTTCATTCCTCTCAGGTCTGTGTGGAGGTCAACAGCACTCAGCATGAAAATGAGAATAAGATCCAGATTTTCAACTCCAATGTGAAGTCAGTGCTAGTATAAGGATCAGAGACTTGGCACGTCATAAAGAGCATCTCAAACAAACTACAGACCTTCATTAACAGTTGTCTTCGTTCAATAGTCAAGACCAGATGGCCGGCCAGAAAAGATCAGCAACAGAGATCTCTGGCAATGAGCAAACCAACCCAGCAGGAGCCGATTGTGAAACAAATAGGCAGGAAGAAATGGAGATGGATTGGCTGGCCATACTCTGAAGAAACCATCAAGTGACATCACTAGACAAGCCATCGCTCGAGTGGAACCCGATAGGGAGCGGCGAGTTGGTCATCAGTGCGAGGGTGACTTGGAGGAGGTCATGTGAAGAGGAGATGAAAACGTGTGGGTAGACATGGAGCTAGGTGAAGACTCTAGCAGAGGACCGAACGCAATGGAGACGCACGGCTGAAGCCCTATGTTCCTCTAGGAATTAAAGGAAACAATAATAAAAATATTAATCTCTCATTCTGATTCAGTATGTAAATATTGGATTGACAAAAAATAACAAGCTGGCAGATAGATAGATAGATAGATAGATAGATAGATAGATAGATAAATAGATAGATAGATAGATAGATAGATAGATAGATAGATAGATAGATAGATAGATAAATAGATAGATAGATAGATAGATAGATAGATAGATAGATAGATTTTTAGTGTTGAAGGCTAAAATATGAATACACTGGCCTGTTAGCACTGGTGCCTTATTATTTAATCTCTTCCTGTAGTCAATAAGCAATTAAGGAAAGAAATATCGAAGTTATTAAAATTCGAATAACTCGTTTACCTTGCAATCATGTCATGTTACTTTTGTCAAGTTTGTTGAGCATTTCGGAGTAATTCTTAAGAATGCCACTGTCATTTTTGTGTAAATTATACTACACAGGAAGTAACCAAGCTTTCTACTTTATTATTAATGTTTTAGCATACTGAATTCATACGGAATTCAACCAGCTAATGATCAGTTATTAGGAGTAAGTGAAACTGTCATTTAATTAGCAATTAGTTTTAGAATTATTATTTATTTATTTATTTTAGAATCGAAAAGAATTTGAAATTATGGTAAATTATGGTATCACATATCATAGTCAGTTTTTTCCAAAAGATCTAAACAGTTCCAAAATAAGCCTAGTAACTCGTGAAATATCAAGGACTGATTTTAAACCACAAAATGACACTTTCTTTCTTTCAAAAGTGAATGTGATACAATGGAATTATTAGCAATATTAACTGATCGATAGTTTACAAAAGAATGATTACTGAACAAAGAATATTCTGTTTGATAACCTTCGTGCGTCGGTGGCACAGTGGTTAGGACCCTCGCCGACCATGCACATGGTCCGGGGTTCCATCCCCTGCCGGCGCACACCCGATATCTATGGTCGGCCTGAATTTGGGCTACCGATATCCATGCTGAAAATTCCACACTTGTACTGAAAATACGGCGTGGAATCAAGCTGTAAATCAAAATTAAAAAAATAGAAAAAAAATTCTCTTCATTAGGTTATACAATTATATGTATATAATAGTGAATGAGGGAATTAGTGTTATTAACAACATTAATGCTGTTTAGATAACATCGAATCAATAATAATAATAATATCAATGGATTACAGTTCAATGGCATCAACATAACAATAAGCTGAATGTCAGAAAAATTAGGAAAGATAATATAACAAATTCATGAATTTATAGTCTCTACTGAAGGCCGGCCAGGGCAGTAATAGGGGTTGGACTTCCTTCATTGTCACACAAAGCACTGGTTGCTTGAGGCAAATTGCAATAGCCTCTGCTGTTTGGAGCATGCGGTGCTTCGATGATTTTGGCAATTTATTAGGCATCCAGTAGATGATAGAGAAGGATTCTTCCACGCTGGCTGGCTTTGTGGCCGGTTTGCACCAGATGGTCCAATATCGAACTGTTAATGGTTTTCACTACACCTTTACTTAGCCATAGTGGGAGATGTTCTCGAGCACGAAAAATCAAGTTCCTAGAGCAGCGGTCGATATAACTCGCTCCACAAGCGCAGTTGAATTGGTAGACACAATTTGAAGTGGCTAGTCTGGGTACTTCATCTTTCAGTCAAGGTAGCACTATCTGTTGTGCAGAGAATAATACGTGTAGTTCGACAGCATTAAAAGTTCTTTGAACTGATTTCTTAATTTCATCGTAATTATCTCACTTGGTATATCTGTCTGTTTGTCTGTTTTCGACATAGAACTTTGCACTGATGTGCAGCAGTTCAAGTCGCCACAATCTATGTAGCACGCAAAACAAATGAAGAAAGTAGAAGAAATGCATAATATAGACAGTAAACAGAGGTGCGAGGCGAAGGAATAGTAATAACGGAGAACAAAACAGTTTAATTGGAAATCATAAGTCACAAGGAGTGAATGCATCTGCGCCACTGAGAACGATTTTGAGCCATGTCACCAATTGTTTCCAACCATTGGTTGTTACCGTCCCGAGGACCCCAACCAGGAAGTCTACATCTCCCTACGTGACTTAGACTAACTGTTGTGGATTTCATTGACTGGTGCCATGTTTTCGTTTGACCACCGCTAGCTCTTTTCCAGCCTGGCCCGATATCAGCTAACATTGCCCGTCGAGGAAGGCGATGACTAGGCATACGTAACACATGTCCCAACCATCTCAGTCGATGTAATTTCACAGTCTCATCGATTGATTTCCCCGCCTTACCTAGCACTCGACGCCTAACCTCAATATTGCTCACCTTATTATACCACTTCACGCGGGAGACAGAACGCAGACACCTATGATCGAAGACAGCTAATCTTTTCATGTCTTCCGCTCTCAATGGCCAGGTCTCACAGCCATAAAGGAGGACGGAGCGGACTGTTGAGCAGTACACACGCCCTTTGGTCGATAGTCGGATATCGCGTCTACGCCAGAGACGGCGTAAACTGGCGTATGCGAACCTAGCCCTCTGTATTCGTGCTGAGATTTCGTCGGAGATCAACCCGTTGGCACTGGCTGATGGTACTTCCCAAGTAAGTGAAGCGGTCAACGTGCTCTACCACTTCACTTCCTATTTCTAATCTAGGGGTCGGTGAAGTCCAATCCTGCAGCATCATCTTACATTTTACAGGGGCGAATCGCATGCCAAACATCCGTAGATTGCAGCTCAAGGTGTTCAGTAGACTCTGCATTTTGTCAGAGTCCTCGCCTAGAAGGACTATATCGTCCGCATATTCTAAGTCGACGAGATTATTCCCTGGTAGCAAGTCAATCCCTGAGTCGCTGAAGTGTGTTAGGGTTAAGTCCATTAGTACATCTATGATGAAATTGAATAGGAATGGGGATAATGGGCATCCTTGACGTACGCCACTAGTCGTCACCACTTCAGATGACAACTCGCCATAAGCCCTCACCTGGCTGCATGAGTATGAGTAGAGTGCCTTAATCAGTGCTATGTATTTTCTCGGCATTGCCTTTACAGCCAAGCATCGCCAGCGAACCTCCCGGTCGACAGAATCGAATGCCGCCTTCAGGTCAAGAAAAATAATGATTTTTGGACGCCGGTAGGAATGCCTGTGTTCTAGAATCTGTCGAAGGGTGAAGATATGATCAATACTCCCTCTTCCTAGCCTAAAACCTGCCTGGTTTTCTCGTGTTTGTGTCTCCCGAGCACCACTTAGTCTACGCAGTATTATTGAGCCTAGGATTTTAGATACTATATTAGTCAAGCTAATGCCTCTGTGATTATTACAAGAAGACTTGTCTCCCTTCTTGTATATCGGGATGATCAGTGACTTACACCAACCCGACGGGACTTCCTTTGATTCCCAGACGCTGCCTAGAACCTCAGTTAACGCAGACAGTAAACTGTCTCCACCATACTTAAATACCTCTGGAGTCAATCCATCAGGTCCCGCTGCTTTGCCTTGCTTCAGATTAGTGGCTGCTCTAGTAACCTCGGTTAGGGACGGAGGACCTGTGTCTATATCCCATTCAGGGAGGTGTTGGATGTTGGGCAGGTTGAGCGTGGCTGTAGGCCAATTGAACTGCTCCTCGTAGTGTTCTTTCCACTTGGTATATCGCCCTTGAATCGCAGTTGTATATAAAGAGGATTCTTGTTTACGGATAGTGAGTAGTGCTTTTCCGCTTTCTTTATCATGTGTTTCTTGATAAATTTTTCGGGATAGCTATTTTCAATCAAAGTGTCACATACAATGCTCAATTCATCTTCAATTACTTCTTCTGAGCATATAGCTCTAACTCTGTGGCTGAGGGTCTTCACTAAATTTCTTTTGTACTGGAGAGGAATGAAGCAGTGAAAATGTGTATATTGTCCAGTCCAACTACTTTTTCTATGCAAATTTCGTTTTATGCTACCATCTGGTTTTCTTGTAAGGAAGACATCCAGGAAGGCGATTCTGTTTTGGGATTCCTCTTCACACGTGAATTTCATAACCGAATGTACTTCATTGAATTCAGTTATTATTGTACTCCTATCCGAATCATTATCACAAAAAATGAAGGTCTCATCCATATACCGGCAATAAAATGAGAACTTTCTGATAAGGTTGTTCAAAGGTCCATTTTTTGTTTACTTAGAAAGAAATCAGCTGAAATGAGACCCACTGGGGAGCCCACCGTCACCCCGTCCACTTGACAGAAATCCATTGATCAGGTATACAGTGTGATTATGTGACTATGGGACACATCCCCGTTTTATAATGTAATGCAGTATATCTAGATAGATATAAGACGTTGAGAAGAATAAATGTGCAATTGGTATTACCATTACACAAAGCTGAAGGACAATGTGTACTATTATTTATTACTGCTTGCTTGGTTTCCACCTGGAACAGAAGGCTCCAACAACATGCCTCCACTCTGTTCTACTTTCTGCTGTCCACTTTAACTGGGCCCACCATTGCCCGTAGTCTTTAATCTCCCCTTAACATGATCTTCTCCATGTCACCCTCGGAAGCCTCACTCATCGTTTCCCAGTCCGGTCCCACTCGAGGGCCTAGCGCGCAACGAGTGACATTTCTGCATTACTCAGGTTATATGGAGGTTGGATTCTGGCTATTCTCTTCGTTGTTCTATGCTTCAAGCACTAGGTTTCATGAAAAACAGGCTTTGAAATCGATACAGAACTGATTTCCAGCACATATTCACAGGGAACAAAACCAGATTTATTTTCCATTGCAGAGTATTAAAACTGAGGGTCTTTATCAACAGATTGGTTTATGGAAGTAATTTTCCGCTGGTGTACACCTTCCTGAGTGAGTGTCGAAAGAACATGGAAGTGTTTGACCTTTCATATTTCTATTTTCGCTAATATTTCCATGAAGTAATGACTGAATATGACTTTTATCCTCCTCAAATTAATCAATATAGTATTCATACAATGTTAATCATAAAAAAAGTCAACAGGAAACAAAAATTTGAATTTAGAAATTTCTTTGCCATTTAATCCAGTAGTAATTACCTGTATGAATAATCATCAATAAATGCGCCAACAATTGTTTTTCTAGTATTGGTTTTGTAAGGATTCTGTTTGATTGGATGGAGGATTTCAACATTAGCTGACAATGGTTAGAGAACCATTGAAAAACCAGCTGGGAGTACTGGACAACTATTTCGTCCTAGTTTGGGACTCTTCATCAGTGCGTACCCATCGACAGGGTTGGAACCCAGGACCTTCTGGTTACAAGGCTAGCGATTCGAAGACTATTGAGCCACTGGGACCCAATCCCGTGGCCAGCCTATGAATTATAACTTCTGCCAATTTACGACATAGCGCGAACATTTCGCCATATCTTTTTCTATGATTTACTGCCTCCATCTAATCAAACAAAATTCCTACAAAAACGATACTTGAAAACTAATCAGATGCTCACTAGCAACTGGCCCTATTCAGGTAGTTAGTTACCTGGGGTTCTAGTGGGAAGCCGTGGCCAGTAGGGTACAGTAGGTTCAAGATGAGGCAGTTACTCATCGAAGAAAACATTGCGAAATAGTCACGCTACGTCGTGAATTGGAAGAAGTTAGAATTCGTTGACTGGCCACCGGATTGGGTCCCAGTGGCTCAATGGTATTCGAGTTCGCTAGCCTTGTAACCAGAAGGTCCTGGATTCGAACATCCTCTCGTTGGTGCGTACTGATGAAGAGTCCTAAACCAGGACGAAACTTCTGTCCAGGACTCCCAGTGTTACCAGTGGTTCTCTAACTGATGTCAGCTCATGATGAAATCCTCCATCCAATTTTTTTTCTACTGAAGATGACGCTTAATTAAATTACCGAACAATTTGTGCGCGAAAACTGGTTTGGAATACAACAAAACTATTACGAAACAAGTTTTTCCAACTTCGCAACAGAATCAAATTCATTTTTGAGCTAACAATAACCAAAATGCAACATTTATTTATTTGTTTTATTGCTTGACTATCAAAAAAAGGGTTGAACCTTGAATTAACAACTTCCAGTCTCTTAATCCCATACTGATAATGATAGATAGCATAAAAATGGCAGTTTCATTGTTAATTTCTTCTATCTACAACTTTGTACAAAAAGCCAGTTAAAATCAGGATTAATGTGGAAAATTCTGAAGGAGTAGATGCATGAATTCATTTTATTTCACCGGATTTACTCATTTTGTTTAAATGTATTTAACACTAATTAGATCAAAGCTATAATAATGAACATCCTTTTCAACATGGTTTACTTCGGTGTTGGTTGTTTAGCAACAATCAGCAGGAATGATCTGGACTTAGATCTTGTGTTTGCTGGTGATGCTGATCTGTAACTTTGAAGGAACTGTCTTCCCCTCTGAGATTTGAACCAGTGTCTCCCAGTTATGCAGTCACAGACATCAACTATGATGAGATATTCGATCTGACGATTTAACCTCCTGTGGTTCCTATGAAATTACCAATCAATTCACGTATACCACTATTCAGCCACTGAAACGTGAGCTAACAGCTCATCGACTCTATCTTCTGCCAATTTGCGATGTATACCACGACCGCCAGCCAATGTCTTCGACCAATATTTGTCTTTACATCCAACTAAGGGTAGTGTGGTGAGTGCGTACTTTCGAAGACTCCCAAGCAAGGACGAGACGGTTATCAACGTCTCTCTGGTTTTCAGTGGTTCTCTAACTGGAGTCAATTCATGATCTAGATTGAGATCATTCAGATTCTTGCAAATCAACACTTGACAACGAATTCCTTTCGAACACAAAGGTTACATTTTAGTGAATTGAAGAAATTCAGTACTCTGTTTCAATAGCTAATGTAGGTGGATCGTCTGTTGTTGTTATTGCGTTCTCTGTGCTGGATGGTTTAATCACGAGGCTTTGATTTCTTTTTCGAAATAACATTTTCAGAGCTAACTAACTGCTTTGAAGTTATCCACCTGAGAAAGCACATCAACATCAGATAAAGATGAAATTTCGATAGAGAAGTGAAGACCAGATCTGCAGTATAAAATGATATAAATCTATTTCACAGGTTCTCATCAGCTACTGCAAACTACCTGAAATTACAATGGTTATAAATAATAACATTTCATACTTCAGTGTTTGAAAGGTAATAATGAAAAAATTATAAGATGAACGCATCCGGAATATAAGTACTACAATTTTTAGTTTAAGTTACCATCAGTTTATATACTATCAAACTATGAAAGAAAAAAGGAGGTGAGAGAAGAGAGAAAACAGCTTGTCCGTCAACATGGCAACTCAAGAAGGTATAAGTTCATCAAATTGAAAACTTGCATAGTGTGATGAGCTCACAAGTGTGGATGACTAATCAGTGTAATGAAAGTAATAAGGTTACCAAGGGAGTGAGAGATTGACTACACACTCTCTCTCTGTGTGCATAAGTTTGGTTTGAAACGTTTGATTGCAATTGCTTCAGCAGTAAATCGTAGTAGATTCGCTCTCCTTTGTATGTTTAATATTTTGAAGGATTTGGAAATCTCGACAAAATGACCCGTATCAACAGGGTGGGTGTCTGGTATTTGCACTTTGTAAATATCTGCTTCCTTTTAAGCATAAGTTTCTTGGAATATGCTCTGAAAACCGGATAGAAGCCCTTCTTTCTGTCCTTCCTTCTTTCTCTATCGAAATTTATCAAGGGAACCAAATGTATGAAATTTTTAAAAAGAAGGAATTATTGTACACATTGAAGAATCATCTTTTCAGCGTCACAAAACACACATTGTGCATAACTATTTCCTGCTGACTTAATAGTTTTAATCTAAAATTCCAGAGAGAATTAACATCTTTCAAATGAAGGTGGAAACTCTACTGAGTATTTATTATTTTACTCATTCTACTACTTGATTTTGTCTTTTAATGAGAAAATGAAAACAAAAACAAAATACGTAATCGAGTATTGTACCTGGTAAGCAACACTCACCTGTTATTCTGTGTTATAATTATTGTGTACTTACAGAATCAACGTTACTCCATACACTACGCCATGCCTACAATGCTCGCGTTTTAATAACCTGTCAGAAGAAACCGGAATACGAACGTAGACGTAGACATAGACATAGACATGTAAGTGAATTACGAAACTTTTAACTAACAAATGTCTCTGAAAGATTAAAAATTTACTCATCTATTGATTTTACGAATGATATTAAGATCAAACAATAGGCTAACAGCTTTTAAGCATTGAATATTTAGACAAAATAATTCACTGTAAATAAAAGGAGTACTACAGATTTTGCAGAATAAAGTGGTACCATATTTTGTTTATTTCGTTTCCTTCTTGTCAGCTTCTTACAGACCAAAGACATTATTAAATATATCTACAACAACAATTTTAACATACTTGCACAGAGTTCATTTTAAACAAAAATCAATCAATATATGTATACAGTAATAATAATATATATATATATGTAATATTAAACTCTATTCCAAACAATAATGATCATACACAATGGAAACTTTCGGCATTACGTATTCAGATGAAAGAGAGGTGAAAATATCCAGTTACCAGGCAGGGCAAAGAAAGACTGATAACTACTTCTTTCTGAACGCACTTGATGGAGATCGCTTCGGCAAACTTGAGGAGAATTGAACTCTTTTGCCTATTGATAATTTTGAACGATTATTCGACGTCCACCTCATGACCCGTGCCAAGGAGATACCTGGAGATGACACTGTTTAAGACGTTTGTTCCTTTTAGACATTAGGTTTTTGGTACATGTTCAGAAAATCGTAGATATGCCCTTCTTTCTGTCCTGCTGAAGCCAACTCCATCAAGTGCCTGAAACCTGATTTGTGCGTTCAGAAAGTAGTTATCAGTCTCTGCTTGCCAACCTGGTAACTGGATATTTTCACCTCTCTTTCATCTGAATGCGTAATGCTGAAAAGTTTCCATTGTGTATGATCATTATTGTTTGGAATAGAGTTTAATATTACATATATATATGTATATATATATTACTGTATACATATAGTGATTGATTTATTTTTGTTTAAAATGAACTCTGTGCGAGTATCTTAAAATTGTTGCTGTAGATATACTTAATAATGACTGTGGTCTGTAAGCAGCTGATGAAAAGGAAGCAAAATAAATTCTGCTACCACTTTATTCAGCAAAAACTGTAGTTCTCGCTTTATTCAAATTCATTAAGGGGAATAAATGTAAGAGATCACTGTAAATAGTCTGTTAACAAAATAAATTCTTAATAGACTGTAACAAGTAATCTAACAAGTTATATTTCTAGTTGATTATTTTTTAATTTCCTAATAGTGGTAAACTCATTATGCATCAGTTTAAACAGGAATAGATTGGACCAATAATAAGACTCTAGTGGATCTGAATTTCGCACATGGATGATTTATATACTGAATATCAGACAAACTCGAAGACTCACAGGCGAAAAGCGACAAACTGTCTGAAGAAGCAGGCAGTGAAGACATGCAGCCAGGTGAACATAGAGAAGACGGAGGTGATGAAGATAACCAAACAAACAATCAGCAGCAGCAACAGACAGCACAAATCACCCACCATCAGTGGGCGAAATTTGAAAGAGGTCACTTCCTTCACTTATCTGGCTAGGCAGCATCGTTTCAACTACAGGCGACAGTGCACAGATGTGGATGTCTAAACTAGTCAGCATCGGATAAGCAAGACAGACCTTCGTCAATGTGTGATCGGTTTGGAAATCTTATAATCTCCATTGCATGAAGAACATGATTGTGATTTCCAACATCAATGTTAAGTTAGTCAGTTCATTTATATACTTGAGAAACTTGATCAGAGCGTCACCGAAAGCATTTCCAATAGCTTTATCAATACCTGCCTTTTATGGCTCCATACTGAAGATCAGATGGTCGCCAACAGAGAATTAGCAACAAGAAACTCTGGAAACAAACCAATCAGGGACTTATTATCCAAAAAATGTGCAGAAGAAAATGAATATCGATCGGACGCTGGAGAGATCGTCCTATAGCATTGCATGCCAGGCCATCGCTGGAGTGGAAGCCAAATAGCAAACGATGAGTTGGGTGTTGATCTTAATGTGACACGGAGGCGATCGTGTGTGAAGAAGAGATGGAGCAATCATGGCGCCAGCGTCGTGGCACAGCGGTTAGGAATCTTGCCAACCATGCACATGGTCCGGCCATCGATCGTCTTAATGCGAACACAGATTTTATCAGAATTAAAATTCATCTGCAGAGGAGAGGGCGAAATGGGAATGTGCTGTTGAAGCCACGTATGTTTCACTTGGAAACCAAGGGAACATCAGTATAAGTAATAGAATTACGCAGAATATGCAAACCTGAAATTATGAGGTACCTAGGCTGAATGACATCAAAAACACTGTCACTTTGTATGAATAAACCAAAACACTCGAGCTGTGTCAAAGGAGATCCATAGTTAACAGTATTCAATGCACGAATGCGGAGGTCAAGAGCAGTGGGATTCGAATCAACCGTGTCCAAAAGACAGTGAGGAATACACAAACATTTTTACAGAAGATGCTGTTCAACTATTATCACAGGTCAAACAGAATGTTAATACATTAAACGAAATAAATTGCAATGGTAATCAATAATTATCGTTACGGAGTAGTAACGTGGCTAATAAAATTTAGACTGTTACTACTTGATAGTAATAAGTAGTATGAAGTTAAGCACAGATGAAACAATAGTGAAGTATAGATAAGAAAGTAATCAGCACTCATCTATCGCCACCAACCATTCGGCTTTTCCATACCTCATCACTACAGTGGCTTTAAGGACTCATTATTTTCTGTCACCATACGCTACAAAAATTCATCAGTTCTAACCTATGCAGTTAGTTAATTAAAGAAATCAATCAGTCAGTCTATACGACCATTTAGCTTTCTGATGACAAAAACAGCTAACGCGGAGATAAATCATGAACATTTGTACTTTCATGATATTTCAGTGATTAGGCGGAACGACAGGATAATTAAGCGATTCATATTTTTCAAGCAGACAATATCTTCATTTCATCAGTATAGTGCCTATCGAGCAAAAGCATTCTTTAGTGAAGTGCCTGTTTTCAAGGGTCCGATACATTGATGGATGAGCTTCGACGTATTTATTATTCTTGTTTCCTTTAATTCCTAGAGGAACATAAGGCTTCAGCCGCATATCTCTAATGCGTTCGGTTCTCTGCCAACCATTCACCTAGCCCCACATCTGCCCACATTCTTTCATCTCCTCTTCGCATCACCGCCTCCTCAATATCACCCTCGAACTGACGACCAACTCGACGCTTCCCGTTCGGGTTCCACTCGCTCAAGAGCCTGGCGTATGATGTCACTTGATGGTTTGTTTTCTCAGAGTATGGACAATTCACCTCCACTTCTTCCTACATATTTGTTGCAAAATCGGTTCCTGCTAGAGATCCCTCACTATTGCTGATCTTTTCTGGCCATCTGATCTTGAGCGAAGTATTGAGTGAAGACGGCTGTTGATGAAGGTCTGTAGCTTTTTTTGAGGTGCTCTTCATGACGCTCCAAGTGTCTGATTCGTATAGTATCACTGAATTCACATTGGAATTGAAAATCCTGGCTGATTGTTGTCTGTTGTTGTTGCTGTTGCTGTCGGCCAGGAATCTTCATCACTCTGTTTTCTTTATGTTCACATGAAGGCCTATCTTGTCTGGATGCTTCTTCTACCAACTTGTTGCTTCTCAATTGCATATCTTACAGTTTGTGCGAAATCAGAAAAATATATATATATCATCGGCGAAATCCAGATCCTCGAAGTGTTTTGTGCGGGTCAATTTTATGCTTATTTCCTCATTGTCCGCTGTCTGTCTGTCGCACTATCCAGACTACCGCAATCAGGAAAATCATTGGAGTTAGCAGGCAGACAGCTTGTCTTACTCCTGTCTTCACTTCGAAGGATTCTGTGAGTTTTCCGTTGTGGATTACTTGGTATGCAACATTATCGTACAACTGTTGGATGAGGTGTGCAATTGTTGGTGGCACCCCGTAGTAGCGAAGTACTCTTCGAATCACCTCTCAACCGATGCTGCGCTGTCGAAGGCCTTTCCAAAGTCGATGAAATTGAGATAGAGAGCTAACTGCCAGTCCAAGCTCTGTTCACTGATGATGCGTAGTGATGCGATTTGATCGATGCACGACTATTTTCTCCTGAACTCAGCATGTTCGGGTCGACGTTTTTCATCCAAAGCTTGTTGGATTTTCTCCAGGATGATGTGGTTTAATATTTTGCTTGTGATGGACAGGAGCATAATGCTGCCCGCCGCGTTTTTACATTGACTTAAGTCTCCTTCCTTTGACAGTCTGGATAAGTAACCTTTCCTCCAATCAGTAGGTACCTTGCCTTCTTTCCACACCTTCTTCAGTAGTGGTGTTATCAAAGCAGCCGACGTCTCTGTGTCTATTTTTCATGATTCTGTGGAAATTCCATCTGGTCCATCTGCTTTTCTTGATTTTAGCACCTTTTTGGCCTTGAGGACATCTGTTTTCGTCGAAGGGTTGGTATTCACTGACAATTTTACTTCTACTGCTGATATTATTTGATGTGTTGTAGGTGGCGGACGACTGAGAAGTCTTTTGAAGTGTTCAGCCAGTGTTTCTTTTGCTTCATCTCTTTGGTCATCGACTTCCCATTGCCATCCTTCACTGACTTAATTTGTGTTGATCTCTTCCACGACAGGGACCTTGTTGATTGGTAGAGTGTTGCCAGGTGTCCTTTGCCTGCACTGCACCTTGTTCTGCTTCACTTGCCATAGCTTCATAATGTTGTCTTTTTTTCCCTGGCACTTTTCTTTACTCTTTTGTTCACTGTATTGTAGCTTGCATTCCATTCTCGTTTTTGTTGCTTGTCGATGCACTGGATAATCTTTTGTTTCATCATCCTTCTTTCTCTTATTAGTCTCCAAGCGTCTGTGGTGAGATGCTGTGTGTCCTGTCTCTTCTTTCTGACTGGAACTTCCATGCAGGTTTGACCCTACACCGCTTTCAGGCTGTTTCAGTGCTTTTTAACCCTGGTCATTTCGCTAGTGTTGATTTGTGTTTCCGCCTTTCTCCTTATGATTTCAGTGAAGATATCCTTTGTATCGTGATCCTTCATTTTTTGAGTACTGAACTTGGCTTGTGGTCTACCTGCAGTTCCTGTTTCCTTTAAAGTTTTTAATTTGATTTTGAGTGTTCCTTGCATGAAATAGTGATTTCAGCCGCCGTCTGCTCCTCCTCTTACTCTTATGTCCAGTGGGCTGAGTCTCCACCTCCCTAAGCAGCATTGAGATGAAGTCGATTTGGTCTTTGGTTCGCCCGTCTGGTGAAGCTACGACGCATACCTTCAGTTTTACTGGCCGGTATACATCCGAAAAACTTCATTGAATGTATTATGAGTCACTCGAGGTGTAAAACTATCGAAATGACTTTATCTCACTGCATTTATCCTCCTAATGTCTTATCTAAATGATTTACAGTATGCTGGTAATTCCCTTTAGTTTTATTAGCCTCATTATTCCACTCACTCATAAAGCAAATTCCAAGACTGAGAACCTGATAAATTTGTTCGCCAATTTTAGAAGACGTAATTAGAATTCTGGTAAAACCTATAAAAAAGTATAATTTTTCAAAAACATTTTTTCATTATATTGTAGAATCAATTGGCGCTATTGAGTGAAGTTCGTTTTTGTTTCACTCCACAACTTGAATTAATTGACTGCCCAATGCATGAAGTAGACAACACTATTCAATGCCCAAAATGGATTGAATTCCCTGAGTTCAATTAACTCTGAATAAATATTTCTATTGATAATACAAATTTCACATATTCATCTTAAAGTAACACACGAAATATACTTGAACAAAACATCTCTAGACTTTTGAATTATCCTTATAAATCAATGAGTGCTAATATGGCAGTAAAAAATACATTTTCAAATACGATATTGTGTATGTGCGTCGGTGGCACAGTGGTTAGGACTCTCGCCGACCATGCACATGGTCCGGCGTTCGATCTCCTGCCGGCGCACACCCGATATCTATGGTCGGCCTGAATTTGGGCTACCGATATCCATGCTGAAAATTCCACACTTGTACTGAAAATACGGTGTGGAATCAAGCTGTAAATCAAAATAAAAATAAAAATGATATTGAATTCAAAAGTTTGATACGGCTGGATGGTTAGTGGCAAATGACAGGATACCCTTGAATTAGGTTTCTTGGTGAATGGAACAAACGCTTGAGAACTGATATTCTCCTACAAGAGTGAAACTCGTCATATCCAGTGCTCTAAACTCAAGAATGTTGAAACATTGTAGAATGCTATTTCAAGTATACGTTATTACTTCTATGAACCAACTGTTGCACTCGTCTGGAGAATAGTCTTCACAGTAGATATGACGTTTTCTGAAAAGTTCGGTGAATATTTAATACACTACGAAATAATATTCCAGTATAAGTTTGCAGGAATTAGATTTCATTGGTTACAGGACTTCATCACGAGCTGACAGCGGTTAGAGAATCAGTGGAAAACCAGCAATGGAGTACTGGACAGTTCATGACTCTTCATCGGTAGCCACCCATCGTCATGGTCTGAACACAGGGACTTCTGACTACCAGGCACGCCACTGTGATATGACCCAGCGGCCAGTCCATGAATTCCAACTTCTTTCCCAGACTAGGCGGAAGAAGCTGTCCAGTACTCCCTGTTGGTTATGCAATCCGACTCTAACTGTAACATCAATCCGTGATCTAACTAGAGAAATAAAATAAATTATATGTTGCAGAACACTGAATTGTTCATACTTTCTGAGATGAAAACACACATGATTAATAGTGGTTATTCTAAATTATAGTGTATTATTCTAGCCTACAATTAAATGTTTCACCCTTCACATACTAATCAGCACTTTGAAAATAATCTATTTGAGTTAAGCGTAAACACTAGACAAAAGGAATTATAACTTTATAAAAACCAACCGCTTTATATATATATACCGATGAAATAAGAAATTTCCAGCATATACTATATTGGCGTTGGCGTTGATGTTGTTTGAAGCCGCTTGTAGTATTGCGGTGACTAAAGGAATAGATAAAGACAGTGATCCACATCTCATGTTACAACATGACTTGAATAGGAAATGTAGAATTTTCTTTGGCAATGAAGATCTGAACGTCATATAACAAGTTGAAGTATCTCTCGAACAGTATCAAAATGATCGCGGGATTTCATCGTGACCAGATGTCAACTAGATAAGCATTGGAAAACCAGCACTGGAGTACTGAACAGCCAGCTGTTTCGTCAGCCTAGTTTGGGACTCTTCCTCAGTACTCACTCACCGCGTTTTGAAACCAGGACCTTCATTTTACAAGGCGAGCTCGGAGATCATCAAGCTAAAGAGATTTTCCAATGCTTCTCTAACCGATGTCAGCTCATGATGAAATCGTGTAACCACTCCATCAAATCCCTACAAGCCAATACTCCAAAAATTAATTTTGATGACCGACGGTTAAATTAGTCACCTAGGTATTAGGCACCAACTGGATATAAAGCACTACTATTTACCTGCTAAATATATATATATATACTGTTTACATTAATCCTATTGAGGTACATTTTGCATTCAGTTAGACGTGTGTATTCAGTATGTAATTTGTATTCTGTCATCTAATGTCAATTTATCAGTCGCTCTTTGTGAACAGTTGTTAAATGACAATATCAAGATGTCAATCTAGGTCAATCTATAATAAAACTGTTATTCACTTTATTCTTTGTCTTTTAATATATGGTGACAACAGGGTAAGTAGTGAGTTCATATTGTCAAACATTAATTATTACATCAGAATACATAATCACTGATTGGTGAAGTTAAACTTTAAGCACCAATATAACCACGAATCAGCGAATGACCTCGAACACTTCAATCACCTAAGAGAGAGGCAACTTTGGGTATGAAATGCATACATTTGTGGAAAAAATGCACAAAAACTTTATGAAAGTGTTACAGAAGATACCTTTCTCTCACATGGGATAAAAACAACTCCCGGTTGTCCAGAGAAGTATCAGTAGAGAACGTAAACCATGTTCGATGCATGTATTCATCTCAGTGGTTGTAAACAACATTCTTTTGAGATCCAACAGTGGCTCTAATCCTGATCTTCAATATTCCCTAAAATCCTTCAATAGAATTGGTGTGAGTCCCTACACAGGAGGATCCACAAAATCACTAGTGCTTCATGGTAAATATGTCCCACCACCAAATTTCAAACGCAACTTTGTTACAACAGTTATTTGATTCTATTCAAGCGGAAGAGAATCTTCAACTTATTTGAACAAAACTTATTGAACCATTCAAGGTCACTGGTGTGGATGCACTCAAATGCTAGTTCGTGGGGTTTAAAGTTTAACGTGGTCCGTTGATATGCTACATCGACGCAACAGTTTAGTATACCGTATTAGTTTTTTAGTAAACTTACCTCCTGAGAACTTTGTGATGTCTTGTTAATTCATTGCAATCGTTTAGTTGCCCATTAAAATTTGAGAACTTCCCACTTATGCATCTCAACTGTGTCGGCAAGTAGAATAACTCATCAGAGGAATTTCAGGTGTACACTGTTATCCACAAGATTTAGTCCACCTATTCTCACTATTGTAAATTCAATAACTTTAAAAAAATGCTGTTTTGTTTTTACCTCTGCTGAAGACAGACAGGCGGAAGAAACTTCCTAATTTGTACAATGATTATTGACAATTCTCGAGAATCCCTCTAGCGAAGATGTGCTTCTTCAGAGTTAATTATTCCTTGATATTGCCCCTTAGTTCACGATTTCTTCCATGTCATCAGTGTTTCGCATAGTGAATTATAAACTAGTGTCTATGATACAGTTACACTTTACTGAAAGATTCTAGTCAGAACCGAGGATTATTATATAATATTTTAATGATCAGTCAGTGTACACTCAGATCACTATGATATGAGTACGTCTATCGAATGACACCCAGTCCTATCGATTAGTATGAAGGGACACGATTGAGTTAGAAATTAACTGGACATATAAAATAGAATATGTCTTTTCTTAAGTTATGCCAAGTGGATTTGTTTAAGTGAACCACTCTTAGGTTGGATTGTAGCAAGCACCCACGTCAATTACACGGAAAACTATAAACTGAATCAAGACAACGTTTTGTCGCCTTAATGAAATAAGAGAAAACGAGCTGGTTAAATGAGGCAGTATCAACTCATTTCATACAAATAAAACAAATCAACCAATAACAACCAAACATCCTGCTAGAATGATAACTTACTGGAACAAAATTTATAGGCAATCAATACTGTTTTCAAGATAGCTGATAGGTAACGGAGCGTCAAAATAGATCACTTGTGGAAGTTTAGGACTAAGGAGGAATATGCACAAACGCCGCATGGTTCAGAGAGATCAAGTCTGGCACTGTCACGATAACAGGCAGGTACATCATTGATCAAATTTTTATTTTGAATTCAGTAACCCAACCTTTCTCACTTTATCATATAGCATGAGTTTTATTCATTTTCTAGGTATATCAGTGTTCCCACACCTGAGCGACACATTACATCAATCACGAATTGCGATTAGAACTTTGATAACTCGAGCTCGAACCAGGTGATTAATTAGCTGTGATTCACTGATTAACTGAGAATTGTTCCTGAAGTATATAATAAATGCAGTTGTGGATACATACTGAAAATACTGTCTTGAAAATGTAGTGAAAGATTTACAATTAAATCGTGCAACTCAAGGAGAACAGCAGCACTCAAAAACATCTACCTTGGCAACAAATGTTCGTCATATCAAAATGATACATATCGTAAAGGACCTGTTACGTCAAACGCGTAACAAGTAATTTGCAAATACTGCAAGACAAACATCCGAATGTCAAACAGAATGATGGAAACAATCACACAAGCCACATCGTGGTAATAAATCACGACTTTAACAACTGTGTATCGGATACTGGAAAGACAGATGAGTGGTCTATGACTTCATCCTCGTACTATGGAAACTGATTGGCTGTTTTGATGATGAAAACATCAACACAGAGCTTAGTTTAATAAATTTGATAAGCATCATTGAAATAATCTCTCGTATATATTTCTTCACGAATAAAAAGTGGTTGTGTGATGCTTCCATATTAGTTTGTTTATTATATATATCACACAGTGAAACAGTATTATTTACTGAATGACAATGTTTCGAACAAAATTTATTATTGTTCATAATCATATCACTAATAATCACACGAGTTCGAAACTTGAGTTTCATAATTCTCTTTGTTCTCTCCTATTTGTCGTCGTTGGGGTAGTAGAATTTTCCAGATATCTGGGACAGGTGTTGAATCAGTCCTATTACACGTATTTACAGTTGATTCGATTAACAAAGCCTCAGTGAGTTATCAATCTCTCCCTACACCCAGCTGTCACATTAGATTTTAAAACTGTCATCTTATCCCAGCCATCCTATTGTTTGGTTGTGTGTAATTGCATGTAGTGTGTGCTATAGCTGAACTATCCTCTAGATTTCTCGTCTTATTTGGATCAACTAATCAAGATTTTGCTAGGTTTTTATGCTCAGTTAGTCTGACTTCACCTGTTCCACTACTTTAATTGATGTATTTGACCTGACAATCATTGCAGGTAGGGTATTAGATAAACTAAATTGTTTTGTTTTATTGCCTCTGCAGGATCCTTCAACCAACAAAGCTTGTTTCTAATTGAGTTTTTGAATGATTTTAATGCCAGCCACTTTTATT